TGTGGCTCCCCTTTCCTTTTTTATGGCAGGCATTGCAGGGTTCGGGGTCTGAAACCATGGGAAACCCCACTGAAACCCTCTCTGCTTGCTGGTGCATTTCTCCCTTCCTCCCTTTTCAAGCCAACCTCTGTTGCATCAGAACTAGGCAGCATTCCTGGTGTTCTTTCATGGCTGTTTCTGCTGACTCACAGAGTAACTTGCCAAAGGAAAGAGGAGGGGGATACACACAAACACACAGTCTCGCACAGACACACAAGCGCAGGCCTCGACACCATACTTAGGCAATGAGGTGAAGGAAGAAGAACTCCTCTCGGGTGCTTGTGAGTGTACCAATGCCGACATTCCTGTTATTTTCTGTATGTCTGTGTGCATGTGTATTCATATATATCCATACTATATATATATGGATTCTTTTTGCAGCATTTCTGAACTGGGCAGCTTGGTTGGATGCCAAGCAAAGTGCTGCCGTTTTGGAGACATGAGAATAACCGTTCTCACCGTTGTGTCTTCTTTCTCTCTTTTTAATGCATCATTATCTGTGGGGGTTTGAAAAGTGTTGAACTGTCTTGGGGTGGAAGGGGGGGTTGAGTTGGTTGAAATTTCTAGGATAGGGTTTTGCATTACCCACAACAGGGATGTGTGTGTGGTGTGTGTTCCATTTTTAGTCCACTTAGCTTGAATTACATCCCGCAAATTAAATGCAAATTGCACCATATTTTTTAGCACACCCACCTGACTTCCTTCCCTCTCGGAGGGGTTTGAAAAGATCTCTCTTTCCTACATTCCTTCATTTCCTAAAGTTTACTCTTCTCTAAGGCTCTCTTTGACCCCTGGAGTCTTTTAAGTTTTACGGAAGGAAAGTAACTCGAAAAGGAAATTGTGTGATTTATCTGCTCGGATATTTTTTTATTTTTATTTTTTGGTGGAGACTAATAAATCCCCTTATCCAGGAGGAAGCTAGCATCCCCATTTGTGCCTGCCTTGTTTGTGCACTTGCTGTTGTTTTCATGGTTGTGATCCCACCCCTGCCCTCTTCTCAGTGCCACCTTGTTCCATGTTGTTATTGAGACGTTACAGATCTCTGGATATTTATTGATTCCTCTTGTTGTGCTTACTTTTGAATACCTGGGTCTGGCCCTTCGTGATAATAATCTGTCTCTTTCTGTTCTCTCCTGGAATCTTGAACCTGAACCAGGCTATCCGATTATTATTAATGCTGTTTCCCTCCAACTCCACCCTAGTTTCTTTTTCTGAATTGTCTGATGCTGCACCAAGGGAGGGGAAACCTGCAGTGGAACCAAATGCACTCCCCTCCGCTCTCTGCATCATTCGATAGACTCCTTTTCAAAATCAATGTCATTTGGGTTTTTTCCCCTGGAGTAAGGCCAGCGTTGAATTATTCCTGCATTTGTTCTACTTCATGTAGGTTGCAGACTCTCTAGAAAATAGAGGAATTGATGAAGTGTGTTCACAGAGTCATGGAGTTGGAAGAGATCCCAAGGGCCATCCAGTCTAACCCCTTTCTGCCATGCAGGAAGACACAATCAAAGCACTCCTGACAAATGGCCATCCAGCCTCTGTTTAAAAACCTCTAAAGAAGGAGACTCCACCACCCTCCAAGACAGGCTATTCCACTATTGAACAGTTCTTACCATCTGGAAGTTCTTCCTAATGTTGAGGTGGAATCTCTTTTCTTGTTGCTTGAGTCCATTGCTCCATATCCTAGTCTCCGGAGGAGCAGAAAACAAGCTTGCTCCATCCTCAATATGACATCCCTTCAAATATTTGAACATGGCTACCATTTCACCCCTTAACCTTCTCTTCTCCAAGCTAAATATATCCAGCTCCCTAAGCCGCTCCTCATAGGACTTGGTGATTTCCAGACCTTTCAACATTTTGGTTGCATATGCATATGCTCTGCGTATGCTCAATATCTCTCTTCAGTTGTGTGCCCAGAACTGGATACAATGTTCCAGCAGAACAGAGGGCACTACTACTTCTGTCAATCTAGACGCTGCACATTGATGCAGCCAAGATCATATGGGCTTTTTTAGCTGCTGCATCACACTCTTGACTCATGTTTAGCTTGTGGTCTACTTGGACTCCTAGATCTCTTTCACACATACTGTTGTCAAGCCAAGTGTCATCCATCCTATGTTGGTTGAGGAAAGACCATTCAATAGTTAGGCACTGTTACTTCCCTCGATGCAGACAATACAGTCCTATTGAGAGTTATTGCAGTTAAAGTGGTTTCAAAGTGCTTTATTTCTGCAGTGTGGATACATCCCAGGAGAGGCAAGCATCCGATTTAAAAGGGGAGAGACTCAGTGTGTTCCTAGTCTGTGACAGAAGTGAGTCTGGGGAGTTCAAGGGCCACAAAATCAGTTTTGGGGTGTATGTGTGTGCACATTTGCCTGTCTTTGCTCTGCTCCAACTAGCAACAACTCTCTAAATCCATCTGTGTTTGGAGGTCATAGTCAAGGTTTTGGGACTGCAAGCATCAAAATTTCCTCACCGTCATAGCCAGTGGATGTTCTAGCTGGGGAATACTTCGGGGGTTTTGTTTAAGGATTAATTTTAAAGCTTTTCTGCTTTAAAAAGCTCCCCCTCTTTTTTCAATATGTAGAAGGAGAGACCGGCATGCAGTCTTGCCTTTCCCAGTAGGCTCAAGGCAAAAGCAAACTGCTGCATACTCTTCTAGCTTGCCTGCTCTTCCAAATTAGTAATATTTGCCATCTTAACCACACTCTTGTGTTGTTAGACCACATGTGTTTTGATTTTCATCTGTGAAATATTGGAGGGTATGACCACAGAGAACTT